AAAAAAACTTTTATAGAAAGGCCTCGCCATGTTGCCTAGGCTGGTCTCAAATTCCTGGGCTCAAGTGATCCACCCACTTTGGCCTCCCAATGTGCTGGGATTATAGGTGTGAGCCACTGTACTGGGCCAGCCTTTCTTTGTAAAGTAAGGAGACTGTCACTCAGTAGACTTTGACATGCTCCCATTATTCAGGTGTTATATCTCTTTGACATTCTCAGATGTCCTCATATATTATCTCCTAATTTCTGTGTCTGTAATTTGTTTACTTTCTGGGGAAAATGGCATTAAGCTTTATGTTATAAATTTTCATAACATTTATATATGACTATTACACTTTTTAATCTTCAAGAGCTTTAAATATTCCCTTTTAGAGCATCCTGTCCTTATTCTATGATTTATCATGTCATCTCTTCATTCCTGGTAGTGATCAGTGATTTATTGACTCTGAGTTTTGTTATATTGCTTGTTTCTTCATGTTTAATTTTGGTTGCTCTTGTTAGTGGTTTTTCTGAAGTGTCTGGTTGTCCTGTGCTGTCCATTTATATTTATGGACAAGAACAAAAAAGTTGATTGAAGCCAGATGAGGTGGTTCATGTCTATAATCCAGTGACTCAGGAGGCTGAGGTGGGAGGATCACTTGAGTCCAGGAGTTTCAGACCAATCTGGACAACATAGCAAGTTACCATCTCTAAATAAATAAATAATACTTAAAAAAAGTTAAAAAGCTGATTCAAGTTCTGTGAGCACTGATGGGACATGTCAAATGTTATGGACTGCATGGTTGTGTCCCCGCAAAATTCGTATGTTCAAACCTTTATCCCAAATATGATGGAACTTGGAGATGGGCCTTTGGGAGGTAATGAAGTCATGAGGATAGAGCCCTGATGATAAAATTAGTGCCTTTATAAGAAGGGACATGAAAAAGCTTTCCCTGCTTACTCTCCTCTTTCTCTTTCCTCCTGTCCCATCTCTCTCTCTTCTCTCTCTTTCTCTCCCTCTGTCTCTCTCCATGCTATCTGAAGACAGCGAGAAGGCATCCATCTCCAAACCAAGGAGAGGGCCCTCACTGGTTATCAGATCTACTGGTACCTTCATCTTGGACTTTCCTGCCTCCAGAGGTGTGAGAAATAAATGTTTGTTGTTTAAACCACCCAATCTATGGTATTTTTTTTTTTTTTTTAATATATAGCAGCCTGAACAAAGACATCCAGGTAGCGATATGCCTGTATAGTGATTAGACAGGGACATGGCTCCTTCATTAGGGGACCATCAACTGTCAACACCTGTTGTCATTTCTCTTGGATAATCCACTTCCTCAGAGAGGAATCTAACAAACTGGTGTGTAGGGATGAGAATGGCAGTGAGGGAATGAAGGAGGGGCATATCTATCCCCGCTTGCAATATTCTCAGAGCACATGGAAAAGGGAACTGGGGGTCACCAGTCAGAATAGACTTTCACTCAGGCTTCATTCTCAGTCTTTGTGACTGGTGTTTCCAATCCAAACTCCTCCATAGACTGAACCTTCGGTCAGGCTGTTGACCTACAGCATGGGGGAGGGAATCTAAGGCTCTGACTTAGACCAACCATCAGCCATTCATTCCATTGAAGGAAATACCTAGAACCTTCAGTTCCAGAGCCTTTCCAGAGTGCTAGAAATTACCTTGCTTACTCAAATTCACCCGTAGATCTAGGTGTTTGGCTTTCTCCTCCAATTTTAATAGCCATCTTTTCTGGTCCTGAAATGTTGTGGCCATCTCTTCTGCTTTTTCTCTCTTGACCTCCTCATTATATATGGGCTTTGTTGTTGTTTTGGTGGGGGGATGGCTTTGAAAATCCCTTAACTGTAATTTTAGTGGGAATTGGCACATAAATACATGTGTCCAACCTGCCATGTTTAACCAGAAAAAAGAATGTCCTGCTTAGGACATTTTAATAAAGCTTCCAATCCTTGTGCCTTTAAAAGTCTGCATGTTGCTTTCACACTTTATTAGTGATAGCTGCTATCAAATGTTAGTTTCACGTTCATTTTCCCTCAGAGCTTGGAGGCTTTCTTCTGTTAGATGTTAAGCATGCACTGATGCTGATGAGAAGAGTGCTGTCTTCATGGGGACTCCTGTTCCTTTACAGGTAATCTGATGTTCTCTCTCTGGAAGGTTTTATGGTCTTTTCTTTATCCTTCATTTTCAATTTCACAAATTTGTCTCTAGGGCTGAGAGTCTTTTTATTCATCCTTTGGTGCTTGGTGGGACTGCCCCACCAAGAATGGCTCTCACCTGTGATTCCAGCTTCTTGTGTACCCGTGTTAAAGGGTATGGCCCCTTTATTCTGGTTCATCTATCAGTAGGTTCTCATTTGCTTTCAATTTTCAAAAAAATTATTCAAAATCTGTGGGCTGATTCTGCCCACCTCACTTCTCATCTGCTATGGACTTACTCTCTTCTGTGAACCCTGTCTCTTCAGTGGGATCTGAGGAAGGAGAGAGGGTAAACATGTGTCTGTCTGTCACCCTGACCTAGAGTGTGACCTTCTCCCTCATGGTGCTCTTTGTCTGATCGCTCGGACCTCAGAAGGCCCAGGTCTTTGTTTTCTAAGCCAACCTGTGGTTGTTTGTATGAACCTTCACTAGAATATTCTTAGAGGGCAGGAACCGAATATCATTTTTGTGCATATCTAGAAAAGATAGCTAACTGAAATGTTTATGCCAGATGAGAACCTAAAACTTTAAATTATTGCTGTTGTGGTTTATGCTTAATTGTAACATTCTCAAATAAAAAACTAAAGCAAAACTCTAAAAAGAATACTGTGATTATAGTTCACCTTATTCCTTTTTCTGTTCTTTTTTTCCTTCACTTGTTTTTCACTTTTCAAAAATGACCTTTATCCCTTGCTTCTTTCCGCTTCTTTTCTGGTGGCTGTATTTATTTTTGTTCAAATTCTTTTCCACGAGCACTTTTGAAAATGAGTCTAATAAGGGATTCTAGAGTTCGTAAATCTTTTTAGAGTGCCTGGGGATAGGGCCCTAAGACTAAGGTACTTATTAAAAAAGAGTGCCAAGAGGTCTTTTATACTTTGATTTTTAACTTTGGAAATAAAAACTTTTGGTTTTTTATTCATCACTTGGGACTGCATGTTTCAGTTCTGAACTATTTCCCTTGGGCTTTGCTAAAATTAATAACAAGCTTTTCAAAACTGTTAACATTAAGTTAACTCTTCTAGCCCATAAAATTTTCTCAAGAATAGAAATGACAAAAATTTAACTTCAATAAGAAAGCAATTACTGGTCATCCACCAAAAATTAAAGGCATAAGGTGAAAAATTTATTTTATACAACTCAATTATGTTAAATGTTATAACACATATCAGAACTGTAAATGCACCATTGCTTCATTGCTATTAGTAGTCGCTGTACCTATACCTATCAATTCTGAAGGATTTTTTGTTTTGTTTTTGGTGAAATTTTATCATTCTCTGACTAGTCCAGAAATTTTGGGTTATTTTCTAGTCAAACAAGTATAGAGCTTCTATAAATGTGAACAAACAGTTTATTTACTAGTATAAAAATTTTAAGTAACATTGGAAATTACCTGGACATAGCCTCAAAAATCTAGCTTTATGAATGTTAGAAACAGTATGAAAATGTTAATACTGACTTAAAGTTGCTAGCCTTGATGGACTCACATATTTTATTACTAATTTCTGAAAAATTTAATTTTCCACAAAAACAACTTTGATAATTAAATGAAAATATAGTCAGAAATATTGCCACTCTCGGTGTTATTAATTATTGGGGAAATTTCCATCCCTATTGCTGTTGTCAATCTGTCATTACATGATAAGGACCAAGAAATATGTATTTTAGTAAATCATTTGTTAGTGAATATTATTCAATTGAAACCAAAGGAATTTCATGTAGTTTACATGTCAAGACTCAATTCTTTAAACTAAATATCTTGAATTCAAAATTTACTTCAAAAATGAAAGGGGCTTAGCTTTTCCAGTGCAGTATTTGGCAAAGTCAGGCTTTTCATGGAGTCCTGGATGAGGAGTCCAAATTTGGCCCTTTGGCTGACTGCAGAATGACTTGTCATCCCAGGTCCTTAAACATGCCATTTTGCCTCTAGGTCATTGATTTTCCAATCATAAAATAAGGAGACTAACATTTCCTTGTGTATGTGTGAGATCATAGCATCTGTAATGACGTCTATGCCTTCCATAACCGACACGCCATCCACCCCAAACATTAGAAAATGCATGCGGTAGGAAAAAAATAGTGAGCTTACATCAACTAAACTTGAAGTTGGACTCTTGAAAGATTATTTTATTCAGCTTCAGGCTTTAAGCCTTGGAAATAATCTTAGATGCAAATGGTGGTAGAATTTTCGGAATGAAAGCAATTGTTTCATTCACTGGTACCAACATTTCTCTTCATGAAAATTATAACATTTAAAAGAACTCCTGTTGACCTAGAATGAGCGCTTGATCCTTTCACTTATGCGAAAAAAAATTTATTCTTCTTCAAAAAATGTTTTTAGTATAGCTGTTGGTTTTTCATTACAGAATGCTTACTAAAAATTTAAATAATTTGCCCTGTGGAAAAATTATTTGTGATAATTTTCTTGAAATTATTTCAAAATTTATGGAATATTAAATATATGGAAATATATGTGTAGAGTGTGCATTCGTGTATACATTTTTTAAAGGGAGAAGCTTTTAAAAGATTATAAAATAGAAAGACTGCAAGATTCAAAACATAGATCCCCTTAAATGACACTTCCGTCACCAATAATTGGACTGAGTTACAGTAATTTTACTTTAGCAAACAGACATGTATTCTATGTCTCACACGCCACCTGCTGAATGAGAGGACTCCAGATGAAAGGTCAAGAACATAAAACCACAGGAGCTTTTTGAGTGGGTCTTCAACTTAGTTAAAATAAAAATAAAGGACCTGTGTTCCTTGAGAACTGGCCCCTAATTTTTCTTTCTCTACTTCAGAGTGTGGCAATGATGTGTTTGGGGACTCTGGCCAAAATTGAAGGTTTAGGAAACATTGAACATGACTTGAGAATATTTAGCACATTTACAAATGCATTTGGAAATATTTATATCACCATCTATATAAAAATGAAACTGTGAACAGCTGGACAAGAACAGTGGTCTACTCGCCGAACTTTTTTCCAAGTTCCTTGACATCGAGGATTACCAATTGCTTGCCAATGGAGAGTCTGATTTCTGAAATGATATTTCGAAAATGTTAGTTACACTAAAAGCATACCAAAGAGAAGTCTAATTTACAGAATTAAAACTCGAAGTTAAAAAATACTGATCACAGTCTGAGCAATACAGTGAGACCCTGTCTCTACAAAAAAACTTATATATATATATATAATTATATATATAATATATATAGATATAATTGATATCTCTATTTGTTTTAATTAGCCAGACATGGTGGCATATGCCTATGGTCTTGGGAGGCTGGGGTAGGAGGATTGCTTGAGCCCAGGAGTTGGAGGCCATGATCTCACTGCTGCACTTCAGCCTGGGTGACAGAGTGAAACCCTGTCTCAAAAAAAAAAAAAAAATTATTTGGAATGCACTTAAAAACTCTGTGTTACCTCCTTCCTCCTTCCTTCCTTTTTTTTTTTTTTTTTTTTTTTTTTTTTTGAGACAGGGTATCCCTCTGCTGCTTAGGCTGCAGTGCAGTGGTGCAATCATGGCTCACTGCAGCCTCAAACTCTTGGCCTCAAGCAGTCATCCCACCCCAGCCTCCAAGGTGGCTGGGTCCACAGGTGCATGCCACCACATCTGGCTAATTTTATAAAGAAAAATTATTTGTAGAGATGGAGTTTAACTGTGTTGCCAAGCTGGTCTCAAACTCCGGGGTGCAAGGGATCCTCCTGCCTTGGCCTCCTGGCTCACGCTGGGATTAGAAACATGACCCACTGCACCCAGTTCCCCCATTTTTTTTTTTTAATGATCACAAACAGAGTTTCCCTTGTTTAGTTTCTCTCAAAGCAAGTTTTAATTAATTGCTACTTTAGGACACCCTCATGTTGACAGAGTAACTTGGGGTTACTGTATTTGCTTTTCCTGCTCTATTTGAGTACAAGTGCTGCATAAAGGAAAATGGCTGACTGTTCCATGTGTATTTACACTGGGGGGTCTGAACTAAATGATCTCTTTTAATGCTTTCCAACTCTTTGATTTCATAATGAAAAAACAACGAGAGAGCTGAAAAGAGCAAAGCCAGATGATTAAAATTATTATTTTTAAAGTCACTGCTACCTCAGCCAGGGTGTAAATACTTTATGGGTACAAAATAAATTATAAATTCATTTAAAATCAAAACATGGATGAGGTATTCAGAAAAATATTATGTAAATATTTTCTATTTGATATAAATTCCTTGCCCACTTTATTGTTCATATGGTGTGCTCAGTGGGGGCCATGAGGCTCTAGTGACTAATAAACATAAATACAAGTTATTAAATATGAAAACATTCTACAGGAATAATAATTGACTGGAAAGGCCCATATTTTACGTTTTAATCTGTATTTCTACCAGTTTCACCTGACATACTGAAAACCATAATCTGTGTGTGACCTAAATTAGTCTTTGCCCAATAGTTGCCCAGCATGAAGTTGACTCTTCTTTTAGTTTTGAATAGTGTTATCAAATTTAAACACTAAATAAGTGCAGAACTGGGATACAGGTGCATGACGGTAAAACGTTTTTGGAGTCAATTCTTTCAGAGAAACCTACAGATTTTTATAAGATTGTTATACTGCAGAAATGACCCCACCACTGTCTCAGTCAGGGTTTTATGAAGAAGCCTCACCAAGCAACAGTTTTGAAACTTCACGGCGGGTATGAATTACCTGGGCAGGGGTCCCCAAATTAGGACCCTGTAGAGGCCAAAGCCAGCCTACCCCTTCTTTGTGTCTGGACTGTGAGTTAATAATTTTTATGTTTTAAAGTGTTGAAACAATAATGATATTTTGTGACACATGAAAATTATATGAAATTCAAATTTTAGGGTCCATAAATAAAGTTTTGTTAGCACAAATCCAAGGTTCGCATAGTGTCTGTGACTGTTTTCCTGCTACAAAGTCAGAGTTGAGGAGTTGTCACAGAGACCACACAAAGCCAAAAATAGCTACTCTCTGGCCCTTTACAGAAAACGTTTTCTGGATCCTGACCTAAGACATTATTAAAAAATCCACCTCCAAAGAGTGATTCAGTTAGTAGGAAATGAGGTTCAGGAATCTGCACATTTTACATCTCCATCTCATGAGATTCTGATTCTAGTGATCTTCAGAACACCACTTTGGAGTTGGAGTGATCAGGTTTTTGGTGATCATTTGGGAATGTGATCTAAACTCCAATATCCTTTTTTTTTTTTTTTTTTTTTTTTTTTTTTTGATATTGACCTAGCAGTGGGATAGCTGGTAGCTTTATTTGTTGTTTTTTGATTTTTGGAGACGGAGTCTGGCTCTATCACCCATGCCAGAGTGCAGTGGTGCGATCTCAGATCACTGCAACCTCTGCCTCCCGGGGCTCATGTGACCCTCCCAGCTAGCCTCCCCAGTAGCTGAGACTACAGGCATGCACCACCATGCCGGGCTAATTTTTAATTTTTTGTAGACATGGGGTTTTACCATGTTGCCCAGGCTGGTCTCAACTCCTGAGCTCAAGTAATCCACCCGCCTCGGCCTCCCAAAGTGCTGGGATTACAGGCATGAGCCACCACTCCCAGCCCCCAATATCCAAATGGATCCATATTCATTGCTGGTGTATAGGGCCTGTGGGTTCCATGGTGGGAACTGGAGCCCTGGCCCTTAGCAGTGCCAGAAAGATGGTCCTCCTCACCTACTGTTTTGACTTCCCAGTCATCCCTTGATATGTTACATACTGGTCAGCTGTTCAGACATGGAGAGGACAGGTTTCTCAGAATGAGTGACAAGAAAAGTACTTCAGTTAATTTCCCTCCTTACCCATCGGAGTCCAGGCCATCTCCGGAACAACGAAGGCTCACAGAGTTCATAGCTGGAGGCTGACAATCCACACACACCGTGTATCCCTCTCGGAGATACTGCATCCATCTAGTCAAGGGCCGGTTTTCCAGAGCACAGTGAGGAGTCAAGGACTCTGTCTTAAACTCCATACAGTATCTACAGCAAAAGAAGTAACAATGACACTTGCTGTAATGAGCGGTGGCCTAACGCTGTAGAAAGTCTTAGGAAGCCTGTCACCTCCGAGGGCATCTGGCTGACTGGAGCAGGTCAGTGAGTGCATCTTCACAAGTTACGTGTCAATCACCTTGAAGGTTTCTCATTCCCTGAACCACGGTGAAACACTACTGATAATCACAAAGAACCTTTCTGCCCTTTTTCAGTCCATCACTGAGCTCTCTGGGCAACATAAATGTGCAGAAGGTTGGATATCCTGTACCCTGTCTAATCAGATCACTAAATTGTGCACAGAAGGCCAGGTTTTTGTAGAAACCCAGCCCTTGATAATTCTGCTGATCTTAAGGAATTCTATAAATTGAACAAGCACTTGCTTGAGCCTGAGAACCCTAAAACGTGAGCCCAGGAGGGCTAGTCCTTAACACCTAGGCCAGCACCTCTGCTGTTCTGCTCCACGAAAGTACCCGGGATATTCCTCACCCTCTCCACCCACCTCACGTGCATGGTCTGGAGTAATGATGATGAGTTTTGACTTGAAGTCAATCATCACGGTTATACTGGACATCACAGGTGAAAGCAGAAGTGGGAGGCTGAGACGTACTTTTCTGAAAGAAGTTAGTGTCACCTTAAACTGAGCTGTGGAAATCTCTAACATTATATGTGACTAGACACTGAACGCCCAGGGGAACATCCAGACATGTGGAATATTTTAGAAATCTGTACTTCAACACAGTTTTCCAATTCTTCAGGGAAACAAGACATAGTAAAAACTCTGAGTATTGTAGCAGAAACTTGTTGCATTGTCAGTTCCATGGGCTAATTTCTCACCCATACACTTATGAGTTACAATAGGTTGAATGGGAAGTGTTTGGAGAATCTGCTTTAAAGACCTTTAATAATGATAGGTACAGCTAATTAGTAACTAAAGGTAACAGTATCTTTAGTTATTGAGATAAGAAATCCTACAATGTGGCTTCAATCAATTTCAGACAGCTAACCCCAGACATCTCTTTTTTTAATTATTTATTTTTCATAGAGATGTGGTTTTCACTATGTTGCCCTGGCTGGTCTCAAACTCCTGGGCTCAAGCAATCCTCCTGCCCCAGCCTCCCAAAGTACTGGGATTACAGGTATGAGCCACCAGGCCCAGCCTCAGGCATCTCTTCAATGCTATTTTCTCATTAAATGCTCATACCAACCTCATGTGGTAGGTTATTAACAGTCATTTTTTAGGAAGAAAAAACTGAGGTGGAAAAAGTTGTTCAAGGTCTTATGCTAGTGAGGGCAGTGTGGGGACCTAAGCATGCAGCTGTCTGGTATTCCTTATCTGATGGCAGAAGAATGGATTTCAGTTGAGCGTGAAGCTGACTTCCAGCCTGTGCCAATAGGTTTCCGTAAGAAACCACTGACTTGAAGTGTGTGTCACTTTCAAATTCACCAAACAGAGGTGGTGCTGAAGTCTAAGGTCCCATAAAGACTGCAAGAGAAGCATCCTTAGTATGATTGATAAAATAAGCTCGTAAAATAATCTCATTTGTATACAGTTTGTTTCTTGTTGGAGATTGGACCTGAGAGGTAGATACTTCTTTATAGCCCCACAAAAACCAGGAGGGGACAAGTATTTTCCCAACCCTGATGAAGAGTCCATATTTTAGCCAAAGTCAAAGAGCAAATAACAGAAGAAAACATAAACCAAGTTGACCCTCTTGCATTGACTTGACTATATAACTGGAAAAACATGATTTAAAAAAAAAACAACAACAACAACACGAAATTACCCAGCATCCTCTGTGTGCGTAGACCAGTGTGGAGACGTAGCTTGTCGTGTTCTCTCCTTGTTGAATGCAGAGGTAGTTATAAAGGCAGGAACTGGAAAAGGGAGATTTCTGTTGAATTCAGGGAGCCAAAGTACTCAGAGCATCGTTTCCCAATCTTGGTTTTGTACCTGTCTAAAGGTCTGCATTCCTAAACTCACAGGGCTACGGCACACCATCAAGGTGTGAAATAAGGCCAACTTACAAATTCGATAAAGATGTATGTGCACACAGATGGGTAGGGAGGGGGCCTGCAGGCCTTTGACAAGCACATTTGTCTGCAGTAATACAACTGTGTGAGGAAGGAGAGGGGCCAGGAGGAAAAACTAGAAGGAAAGGAAAATGGGGATGAGAAGGGGAACAAGGGAAAAAGTGAGATAATAGAGATTATGAAGAGAAGAGGGGGTTTTTAAAAATGAAAGGAAAAGAAAGAAAGAAAGAAAGAAAGGGAAAAATAAGATAATAAAAGAATAGAAAGGAAACAAAGAAGAAATGAGAAAGAGAAGACAAAAGAGAGTAAAAGGGGATGGAAGGAGAGAAAACAGACAACCAAAGGGAGAAAAAAATGAGAAAGGAAAAAAGCAGCCGGCGTGTTGATTCATGCCTGTAATCCCAGCACTATGGGAGGCCATGGTGGGTGGATCACCTGAGGTCAGGGGTT